CAGGGGATTCTTTTCCCATCGGTCATTAACCACGGGACCAGATCCAGAATGAACAGCAAGAGGAGGAATCAAATTGGTGACATAAAACCAGTCGGCACGCCAATCCCTCACAGAATCAACCAAGTCATAATCAAAGAATTTACTCTTAAGACCCTGATGAAACTGAATACCATAGCCACCAAGAACATGGGTGTCGTCGTGGCGGGGTTGCGGCTTCAGACGGAAGAAGTAACGAAAGAGGGAAAGAGAAGGAGGAATTCCAAGAAAAGTTTCACAAAGATGAACAAAAACAGAAAGATGAAGGACAGCATTGGGAGCAAGATGGTTCAAGCTAATCCCAAAATAGCTGAGAAATAGGTGAAGAAAAGCAGAAGCAGGAAGGCAGAGTCCGGCACGGATAAAGAAGACAAAAAGAACAATCTCACCAGGACCTGGAGTTGGGACCCGATGCTCGCCTGGAGCTCTCCAATCAGCAAACTCCTTGCCCTAGACTAGACCATCACTGACAAGCTCACGCAACTGATCCTCAGTTGTAGTCGGAGCCGGCCAGATCTTCTGAGCAGCCCTCATGGCCATGAATTCTTGATTTTCAATCACAGAAAGCGAAGCCTCTTCGTCTACAAATGTTGCATAGGACTTGCTCGCTTATTTCTTCCTACCCATATACTAGCGAAAGCAATAAAGCACTAAGAAAAGGTGATGCTCAGACGACGGCGCTCAGATGACGACGGCAGTGGCGACGGCGGAGTTTTGAAGACTAGGGTTTCAAGGTAAAAGCAGGGCAGCGAAGCAAAAGAAGAAGAAAAGTCTTTAAATAGATTTTACAGCAATAAAAACGTGGCCCACCAGGCTCGTTTAAACACGGCATGAGAACGCAACGGTCCATTACTCACCACAACTGACACAGCTGAAATGACGGATGGCACAATTCCACACAAAGGTACAGTTCAACGGACATATTTTAGACTTATCCATCTAGCACCACGGCAGAGTTATCATATTGCTACAAAAAGAACTCATCAACCATGAAGCAACGGAGGGTTACCTCACAAGGAACACAAGAACTCGGTTCTTATATAAAGAACTCGGGAGTCTCATAAACAACCAGGACATCAGCAGAAAAGAGAATGACAACTCAGAAGACAAGATTCTTTCCATTATAAATGGCTTAAAAAAAAATACAAGATTACACATCTTACAAGACCCAATAAACTCAGAACTATGACAAGCAAGGTAGCAAAGAGGAACCTAGACACAACTAGGCTTTGGAACAACTACGTGTTCCAAATTGCTACTCGGTAGAACAAACCGCACTCGGCTACACTGTTTTCTTCAAAGGAAGAACGCAGCATATCCAAGGTGGAGATCAGCAGCACGACGAGACAACATGGACCAAGAGAAGCCTGCAGGCATCTGTATACCCAAGTTCGATGTGATGCTGGATATGGTGTTGATCTGCACCGGACAGTCTCAGGGCAGACGACGAGGATCAACCTAGAACTGGTGGATGAAGGAACGTATCCCACATCACAAGACTTCCTCCAACTACCGCCACGTACTTCCCGGTACAATGCCGCTGCGGGATTAGTCTAACTCTAATCCCTATCACAAGACTTCCTCCAGCTACGACAAGATACACAAGAAATACAAAATACGCCCGGGGGCTGCTCTACTTCACAAACTATCATATTCATGACTATGGAGATTTCAGACCACGCAACAAAATGCTCGATGAATCAAAACTGCACACCAGGAGGGTATTTATAGACCAAAGAAGCGGTGCACATGGACCGGGAGCACCAACGGAACAAACCTAACAAAGGACACAGTGAAAAGACAGAATTCAATGAAAGAGGACTCAGGCGTGAAAGAGCAGTACTCTAGAACGAGCATATTCGGAAGAATATACCAACACTATACAACTTGTGAACAAACAACATTTACACCATACAACTACACCTGACAACAGCAGACTACCACAGAATATGCCAAGATCCTATATCCGAGTTCTTTTTGAATAAAAGAACCCAGATATATGCTCGGGGGCTGCAGCAGGAAAGTTTTTTAGTTCTTTCAACCACTCAGATTCAAGACCCTCCAGCTACTTGTTCCAAATAGCAAGAGGTTCGGGGGCTACACTCAGTGAGTGCATTTTTTTCTTCAAAAAAGCGCACATCACTCAGAAGACTTCTTCAAGATAGTAGTTTCAAACAACATAAGATTTAAGACCCTTCAACTTTTTGTTCCAAATAGCAAGAGGCTCGGGGGCTACACTCAACCACTTCAAGGCCTCACGACAAAAAGAACCCGGACCTAGCTATATCCGAGCTCTTTTTAATAAAGAACCCAGGTATATGCTCAGGAGCCCTTCGACGAAGAATCCGAACAATTTCAAGAGAAGACCCTCCAGCTCCTTGTGCCAAATAGCAAGAGGCTCGGGGGCTACACCCAAATGGGAGTACTTTTTTCTTCAAAAAGGTAAGCGCTATACGGTTTCGCTCAAGAAAGCACTTGGACGACGCTTGTTCCTGCTCGGCAAGACCTGAAGGAACAAGATGAGGCTTCCAGAGCTCAACTATGAAGTGCTCGGGGGCTTGTCGGTGCGGGACCCACGGGATACCCCGCAAGGAAGGGAGAAGATCTGATCTAACTAGGATTCTTCCTATGTAATCTTAGTAGTAGTATTATTCTGTAATCCTACTAGGAACTCTCATTGTAAACCGACTAGGACTCTGGTCTCCTGACTATATAAAGGAGGGCAGGGTTCCTAGAGAGGGGACTTTTTACGACGCTACACAATCAATCCAACGCAAAGGCTAACGCCGACTGGATGTAGGGCTTTTACTCGATCTACGATCGAGGGTCCGAACCAGGATAAATCGACTGTCTCTTGCGTTCACCGTCGAGTTCTGCATACGCTGAAGTCCGAACAAACTATCCCGGGTACCCCCGTGGTAGGCTATCGGTGGTAAAACATCGATAGTTTCGTGGGTGGCGTCGCCGCCACGTGGAAGGACCGAGGAATTTCTTTTTTTGTTTGATTGACATCTGATGGTGGGCTGGGCTAGAGTAATTAGGTGCGTTGGAGGGCCCGCAGCTGTGGGGGCAACGTGGAGGGCATCCAACGGTCGAAGAAGGATTGGATGGCTAGGAAGAGAAAACAGTGGATGAATAGGAAACTATGAGTTGTTTGATTGACGTCTGATGCTGGGCTGGGCTGGAGTAATTAGGTGCGTTGGAGGGCCCGCAGCTGTGGGGGCAACGTGGAGGGCATCCAACGGCCGAAAAAGGATCGGATGGCTAGGAAGAGAAAACTGTGGATGAATAGGAAACTATGAGGACGAAACGGCCGGTGAATAGTGGAGTTTCACCACGTTTAGAGGTCTTATTCTAAAATAAATAAATAAATAAATAAATATATATATTAATTATTAATTAATTAATTAATAATATATATATATATTATTATTATTATTATAGACAGATAGATGTTGGGATAAGTTTGGCATATACTTGCAAGCTAAAGAATAGATGCAGACGGAGCTAGGGTCTCTAAATTACATAATTGTTCACATTTACGCATAATAACATTTTTTAATGTATATATTGTGCTTAACAATAGCGAGGCAAATACTTCTCCGTTCTTTTTATGTCATATTAGGTTTATCCAAACAAAGTCAAACATTTCTATTTCTGACCATCAATTTTAAAAAAAGTTGCATATTGGCCTCGTTCGGCTGGTATGAAGTTTGGCTTGTTCGGCTTCTTTTTCAGTCGGAACAGTATTTTTTCTCACAATATTTCAGCCAGAGCAGTGTTTTTCAGCCAGTTTCAGCCAAGTTTTAGACCAGCGAACGGAGCCATTAGCTAATAGCATAGTATTTATGTATTTAGATTCACTATAAAAATAATTTCATAATATATAATTCACATGTTGTGAAACAATATATTTTTTAATTGATGGTCAAGCATAAAAAATATTTGACTTAGGATAAACCTAATACTGTATGTAAAAAGTAAAATCAATCTTAATTTATTAGTTGTTCCTAGGTATATGATGCGTGTATATCTAAGTCCTGCCTTGAAAAATATATTACAAAAATCTATATTAATGTAAATTATAATATGTCTGCTCTATTTTTTTGTACATTTTTTTGTTTTTGTCTTAAGCATGGTTTTTGAGGCTAAAAAACCATGGTCATAAGTCAACATAAGTTAAGTTTGATTCAAGTTGTAGAGAATAGTATAAATATTTATGATAACAAATAGATAGATTATGTAGATATATTTCATGGTAAATCTAATCTTATTAGTGTTTTAATATAAGCTTCCAATTTAAGATAGTTTGGTTTAGGACACAACTAGAAATGATTCTTTTTGGATTTTGGATGGAGGTAGTATTTAATTATTAAAATCGCCAAACGAAAAAAGACCTCTCCCCCATTTGCAATCATAGACGTGCCTACGCCGCGCGTGAGGCGCCGAAGGCCGAACGCTGTCGAAACTGGCAGCTTAGGCTGTTTGCATCAGGAGAGCTAAACTCAAAACGGTTCTTCAACAAAATATGTATAGCCTTCCACAGAGTATCTATATGGAAAACCCATTTTAAGTGTCGGAGAGGTATAATCAAAATATGAGTATCATCTCTTCTGGAGATCTATTTGTATAAAGAGTTATCTTTTATGTTTTGTTGTTGAAAAAGATTAAACTCTTTGCTGGGAGCGCTATTTTATATCTTGGGTAACGGTGGTTCACCGCGGAGCCACGTGAGCGAACCGAAACGCCCCGCGCTAGAAACGGCCGCACGCGTCCGAAGGCCACCTTCTGTTTCTGACAGCTAGGCCCGTCCTTCGGATCCTCCCTACTTGTCACCGACACGTACGCAGAGCCATCGTCGGCCCTACCTTTACTGCGACAGAGCGGAACAGAACAGAGGGGTCTCGCAAGGAGTGGAGACGGAGGCCAAGGGGGCCGTCGCAGAACTCGCGCCACCGTCCGCCATGGCTTCGTTGTCGAAGGCCTCCGACTCCTCCTCCCAACGATCCAAGGTGCGCGCGGCCTCTCTATTCCATGTGCCTCGGGTTCACCGGCCCGATCTTCCCAATCTGATTGGTTTCGATTCTCTCCCTGTTTTCTGTGCCCTGCAGCGGTCGGATCAGGGGATGATGGGCAGGGACGCCGCTGCCGCCTCTGCTGTCCCGATCCACGGGAACCTGACGCAGTTGATACGCCAAATCAAATCGGGGCGCCTCGCGTACATCAAGGTGAGCGACCGCGCCCGGCCCGATCATCATGTCACTGAAATTTCGGGGGAGGAGCGTCGGGTTTAGTTTTCTCAATCGGATGTGGCGGTGAATTGGGTGTTTGGCTCTCTTTGCAGGAGAAATTGGAGGCGAACAGGAAGACGCTGCAGAGGCACTCCTGCGCGCTGTTCGACGTGGCAGCGGCGGCGGAGGTGGCGTCGAGGGGCACCGATGGCGGCAACGCGCTGTCGCAGCGCGCGGCGGAGGGACAGTCCAGGCTCGCTGGGTCAGACCTGGCAAACGGGATAGAGGAGAGGGACGTGGTGTACATGCAGGAGGAGAACCTGGCGGCCGGGACGCTCGTGCTCTCCAGCTCGGGCGCTGCCGCGCAGCGGACAGTCGTGCGGTTCGTGAAGCTGCCGTTGGTTGAGAGGATCCCTCCGTACACCACTTGGATCTTCCTGGACAAGTATGGTGCTGTTGCCTACACCCCTCCCCCCTCTGATTACGTCTTATTATGCTGCTTCGCAATTTTTCTTGGAGCTTATGACCTCATGTGCCAAATTGATCTTAGAGTGAGATTATGGACTGGATAATCGATAATGCATGTGCTTATACGATGCTCCAAACCAATGTAGGAGTACTTTAGTCATATGATAATAAAATATAAAACTTTTGAAAAAAAAAACAGCAAATTTCCATACCCTTTAGCTGTGGGAACTCTATCAGCATCTGTGATATTCATTTTATATCTTTATTACCATCACACATCCGACACTTTAGATATTGGTATTCTTGTGTTCATATGTTTTCCAAATGGGATGACCAAGAGCACTATTTTGTGATATTGATGGTCACTCTAAGGAGATTGGACTGTAGTTATGTGCATGCAAGCTTGTAGATATAACGATTTAGAATAAGTATTGCATCCTTTTTCTTTTTGATATTTTACTATCTTCTAAATAACACAGCGCAGAAACCAAAGAATGGCCGACGATCAGTCAGTTGTTGGTAGGAGAAGAATTTATTATGATCCAGTCGGAAACGAGGCTCTGATCTGCAGTGACAGTGATGAAGAAATCCCAGAACCAGAGGAAGAGAAACACTTTTTCACAGAGGGAGAAGATCAATTGATATGGTAATATCCTCATTAAAAATGATATGGTAAACTAAATTACAAAATATTTCAAAATTTAAACAGGTTCTAAGCCCCCCCCAAAAAAAAAAAAAGTTGTAATATTAAGGTTCCATGTATCAGAACCAGGCCACTACATTCACTGAAAGAAACCAGATGTACGGTGTCTGAGGAAATTGGTTGCAAAGTTAGTTGCAAGGCCTGCTTGATATGCCAAATTTCCACACCTGCTTGTTGCCTTGAGCATTATACATACCCTATAGGGTTATGCCCTATGCAGCATAGTCTACTGAAGTGGTTCCAACACAAGCTTTACTGTACAGTTCCCATGGTGTCTAACATGGAATTTAGCTAATTTTGCACACTGGAATAAGAAATTGACCTTTATTTTTCTATATGAATTCATGTTTATCTGATTTTATGCAACTTCTACAGGAGAGCTACTCAAGAGCATGGGTTAAACCGAGAGGTTGTTAATGTCCTCTGCCAGTTTATTGATGCAACCCCATCAGAAATTGAGGTTGTCTACCTTTTTAATAATATTTTTAAGTTAGTGAAGTGACTTGTATACCATAAATATTAACTGTCCCTACATTTGTTCAACTTATAAGATGCCCAAAATTTGATAGCGACTCTTCTTTTTCCTTAAAATGACAGGAAAGATCTGAAGTTCTATTTGAGAAAAATGAGAAGCACTCTGCATCTTCAGATAAGATAGAGAGCCAACTTTCGCTGGACAAAACTATGGATGCCGTTCTGGATTCTTTTGATAATCTCTTCTGCCGCAGATGCTTGGTATAATTCCACTTCTGGCATTCTGTTGCTTTTATTTCCTGTTTTCAAGGCTGTGTTTTGCCGATTGGTTCAACTAAACTTTCAAGGTTGAGATTTACCTGGGACATTTGTTCACTCAGGTTTTTGATTGCCGCCTCCATGGTTGCTCACAGAATTTGGTATTCCCAGTAAGTAAACAGATCATTTGCATTTGAAATTTCTATTTTTTTCCCTGCTAAGTAAATGAAAATATTTTGTTTGTCAGTGTGAGAAGCAACCCTACAGCCTTGAGCCTGATGAAAACAAAAAGCCATGTGGTCATCAGTGCTACCTTCGAGTATGTCTCCTCACGAATGAAATTTACTACCATATTGGCTGCTCCTCCAGTTCTAAATACTTGTTGTTTTTAGCCTCTTTCACAATCCTTAAAATACCTCTTTTCTACAACTTCTAGATGATTTCGACCTATTTTTTCACTGGCGCTTTTCTTTTTTTTTTGACAAAGTATAACCGTGCTTATAAGAAAGCAAATGTGTTTACAATGTCTGCAACTTGCTGGGGAGAAGCAGGAGAAAACCACTAACAGCAGCAAACTGCTAAGAAAGATTCTAGACTCCCAAAAGCAAACGCGACACACAGGCCACCGGACAAGATTGGAAAAGAAAAGGCGCTGTCCCCTCTCACACAACCCTTACAGCAGCTCCTCCATATCTCGAGGCTTCTTGTTCTTCAGGAAGTACTCCGTCACTGCCCATCTGTTCCACCTTTGATTTCTCCGCCAGCCTCAGTAGAATCTTCCATCTCTGCAAGTAGTTGGACATTTTGAATAGCACTTCAGTTGGCGATTTTGGGAAAATTTTCTCAATCATCATTATATTTTTCGAGTTGTCCACAATGCTCAAGTAACCACCGAAAAGAGAACAGCTTCAGGTTATAATGTTTTCCCCCTAGCATTAACCATTCATCTAGGAAATATTGCATATTTGTAGGTGTCCTATCCTATCGTAGTGCGTCTTTGATGACCGCCCAACAGAATTTAGCTAAAACACAAAAGGAAAACATGATCTACAATTTCTGGGCAATTACAGATGGTGCAATTAGCATCCCCCTTTCCATTTTCATTGTTCCAGAACTGTCAGCTTTAGGGGCATCCTATTCCTCCACAATTTCTTCCTTCTTTTGCATAGAACCGCCTCAGAAGGTCTTCCACCTATACATGGATTTTGTAGAGTAAATCCCAGATTTCTCCATCTTCCATAATACTTTATTCTTCCTCGTCATTCATTACCACTTCCTGTATTTTTTTTCCATCAATAAGTCTTGCTCTGTAACTTCCTCTGCCCCAAAGTTTCTCACAGAATCAAAAGGTGGAATAGTCATTTTAGTCTCTCAACTATCTCCTCCCAAACTTTCAAAATGACTGTTTGTCGGTGTTTTGGAACCGGGGGTCCCTCAACCAACGAGTGAATTTGTGCTGCGTGCCCCTAATCCCGGATGGTGGCGCAAAGAGACACAAGGTTTATACTGGTTCAGCAATCGAGGCCCTACGCCCAAATTCGAGAGATCGATCTTGTATTCCTTGCACCGGAGTGCTCGTGAGTAGGGGGGTTACAAGCTAGGTGAGAGAGGAACTAGCCCTGTGTCTCATGAGGTGGTGGTGCGGGCTGCTTGAGGCGTTGTTCCCAAGCAAGCAGAGGAGTGCGGGTTCTATCGGGCGTGTTCGCCTTTTTTCTCCGCCTCTCCTCAGAATGGCCCCCAGCCCCTCCCTTTTATACTCTAAGGAGGACCGGGACCGCGTGCATGTGGTGCTACATAGCGCTTCAGAATGGGGTGGCGGTCCGAGAGCCTCGTAGTCGGCCACCGTTGTGGTATGGTCGATGGAGGCCCCTGCCCTTGTCGTGGCGGAAGTGACATGTTTGGTCATACTTTCGGGTCTTGTGCGCCGTGGGGCTCCAGAGACGGCTTGATGCAGACATGGCGGGCGACGCGACGTCGTGGTCGCCGTAATGACGCAGAGGGAGCAATGGCTCTGCGCAGATGCCGAGGCCGAGCCATCGGGGGGCTCGGTGGTCATGGACCTCAGCCGCCGAGCCCGTGAAGCAAACCGTCGAGGCCTTGGGGGAGTTATTGGCCCCGGTATCGATTCCGAGGCCACAAGAGCTCAGACGTGGCTCCCCATGCCGCGTTGTCCTTGGAGCAGGAGTTGGCAAAGACATGAGGCATGGGTGTCAACCATGTGCACGGTGGATAGCATAGTGACGGTAACCCCCGCCCACCGGGGGACGGTGTCATCGCGTGATGACGTCGTGGGGGCCGTGGGCTCAGAGGTGCCGAGGCAAGCCATCGCGGGGGCTTTGGCGGACATGGGTCCTCGGGCCGCCGAGCCCTCGGAGCAAGCCGCCGAGGCCTTGAGGGAATTATTGCCCGGCATCGATTCCGAGGCCACAAGAGCTCTGGATGTGGCTCCCCACGCCGCATTGTCCCTGGTGCAGGAGTTGGCAAGATAGTGAGGCATGGGCGCCAACCCATGTGCACGGTGGTTAGTACAATGGCTGGGTAACCCCGCCAGCCCCGCCTCCCCGCCCCATCGGCCATTCTCATTGACTGCAGGCCGGCATGCGGTTTGTTGTCGGGGCAGCAGCTATCGAGTTGATGCGACACCTGACGTTTTGCCAGAGGGACGGGAGAAGGAAGAGGTAGCGGAGTGTCGCCGAGCCCGCTTTGCGCGAGACGGAGGGTCGGTGGCCTCACGAGGGCTTTATGGGAATCGACCGAGGCCCGCATGTGAGGGGGGCCTCGGGCTAATCGGAGAATCGGCCGAGGTCCGCGGTGATGAGGCCTCGGCCGAGTCGGAGAATCGGCCGAGGCCGAGGCTCATGGTGATGGGGCCTCAAGAAGTCGGAGAATCGGCCGAGGCCAGCAGCCATGAATGGTTTCGATCTTTACGTAAATCTAAGGCTGTTTTTTGATCTTGCTTAGGGTACCCCTTTCATGCAGATCCGGACAAGAGCCCCTCGAGCCTTGGGGGAGTGGAGGCACTTCCCGAGGTTCCGGACGAGAATTGGCTCTTGATAGCTCCTGCCGGGATGGTGTTTTGTTTTCGAGGTTTTGTGGTGCTGCGCGAGCGCACTCCGCCGGGTGTAGTTCCCGAGGCCCCGGAGGAGTGATTTCACTTCTTCAGGGCTTTTTTTCTCTTCGAGTGAGGCGTTTTGATCGTGGTTTGCCGGGCCTGTGGGTGCGAAGTTCGATCATGGGCCTCGACGATGTTATGGAAAGAGCCCCTTAGCCTCCGCCGAGCGAGAGGGCCGCCGTGGGTTCTCCCGCTTTTGTTGTACGACCTCGTGCTTCCTTTTTTCGCCGGAAGGAGGGGTGAAGATGCCATGCCACCTCGGTGGGCGCGAGCGATGGCATCTCCGGTGAGTGTTATCGGGTAAGTCCGAGTGGAGGCCCTGCACTCTGCTCACTGGGGTCGGCTTAGCGGTCCCGAGACGCGCCCAAGAGTACCGGAGGGTTTTTCTAGTGGGTGCCGAGGCCGCTCACTGGGCCTCGGTGGCTCGGTGCCCCTACGGTGGGATCCCATTCGAGACCTCCCACCGGTCTCGGACACAACATGTATGCGGCTCAGACAGCTCGCCGCCTGTAGTCGCCCCTCGACTCTTTTGCCCTGGGGCACTGCCGAAACCCCCGGGGCCCATTTTCAACCCCGGACCGTGAACGGATCGGGTCGCTTGTTTTTATCTTGGTGCAGGAAGAGCCCCGAGCCTCCGTGACGGAGCGAGAGGGCGGTCGTGGGTCCTCCCGACTTTTTTGCCTGCCCCCCCCGCCCCTTTTTCGCCGGACGGGGGGCTGTTTGCCGAGTCCACTGCAGGCGAGCCTCGAGCCACTGGTCTCGCAAGAAGTTGCAGGAGGAGTTTCAGTCTCGCGACAGACGGAGCGAGAGAGCGGCCGAGGTCCCCGGCTTTTGGTTCGCCCTCGCTGCGTGAGGGTCTGGACCGCCGAGCCCCTCGGGTGCGAGCCTAGGTCGCGGGGGTCTCTGCGCTTTTTGTAAGGAGAGCCCTAGCCTCTCAGACGGAGCAAGAGGGCCGCGGGAGTTCTTCCGGCTTTTGAACGACCTCGCGCTTTCTTTTTCGCTTCGGAAGGAGGGTTGGTTTTTGCCGAGACCCTCGCAAAGCGAGCTCAAGTCAGCCGGGCCTCGCAACGCTTTTGCGTGAAGAGTCCCTTAGCCCTCGTGACGGAGAAGAGGGCCGCCAGGATTCTCCCGACTTTTTATTCGACCTCGCGCGCCTTTTCGCCGGAAGGAGGGGTGGAATGTGCCACGCTACCTCGGTGGGCGCGAGCGATGGCACTTCCGGTGAGTGTTATCGGGTAAGTCCGAGTGGAGGCCCGCACCTGCTCATTGGGGTCGGCTAGCGGTCCCGAGACGCGCTCCAAGAGTACGGAGGGTTTTCTAGTGGGTGCCGAGGCTGCTCATTGGCCTCGTGGCTCGGTGCCTCCTCACGGTGGGATCCCATTCGAGACCTCTCGCCGGTCTCGGACACAACATGTATGCCCCAAGTTGCGTTTGCTTGCTTGGGCCTCGGCCTATGTAGGCTCGCCCTGTAGTTGCCTCGACTCTCTGTTCTCGGGCGGCCGTCGAAACCCCTAAGGGCCCAGCCTTCAACCCTCGGACCAGAAGGGCTTGGTGCCCCGCCTTTGCTCGAAGGAATCGGGGTTATTTTCCCCACGGTTAATTAATGGCAGCGCGGCTTTTTGAGGCGGCTTTTTTTTCGGGAGGCGAACGGCTCTCGCCGCCGCCGCCGCGTTGACGCGACGTGGCGCCACCGACGGACGACCGCGACACGCGCGATTAACGAGGAGGGAAGCCGACGGACGACTCGCACGCGACGATTAACGAGGAGGAGAGGTGCGTATGTAAGACCGATCCGGATAACCGCTACCGGATTTTTTGGGGAAACTTCCCGATTTTCGCCGCCCGGGCGGTTTCGGCTTTGTCATCGTGATAAACACGCAAAGGGCCCGCGCTCTTTCCCTTTTTACTCTCTCTCGATTCGCTTTTGCCGCCTCGCGCGTGCCGCTGCCGAGAGCATAGAGCGCCGGGAAGAGAAGGGCGGGGCGAGAGACCAAAAGAGAGAGGGGAGAGATTACCGCCAGAAAGCGCCCTCCGCCGCGCAAGAATGGTCGGTGGTCCCGCCATCCTCCCGGCGGATCCTCGGGGCGGTCCGACGCCACCGAGGAGAAGCCGCAGCCGCCGTGGAGGCCGGTCTTCTTCGCTCGATCACCACCGACCCCGACGAGCCGGAGTGGATTGCTCGGGAACGAAGTCGGAGCCGAGGGCGC